TCTACACTACCTGACCATACCCAAAGGTTAGTGACTTCACTGTTCTCCAAACCTTAAAACCAGGCATTCCTGAGCACATCAGGCTCCTGGGCACATCACTGCCCAGCAGGCTCCCTGTGCCATCACCCCATATGTCCGGGCTTAGCTGTGGAAATCTCTAGGCCACCTGTGGTAATGTGGCAGTAATGGAGGCTTGCTGTGTAGCTGGCCTTCACAAATGTTGTGTAAGCCATCTCAGAATGCAGCCTGCCTGTGACCCAGAGATAAGCTCTTTTTTGGGGGGGGAGGGGAGAGGGGCATTCCTGGGGCTTGAACTCAGAGTCTGGGCTCTGTCTCTGAGCCTCTCTTTGCTCAAGGCTAGCAGTCTACCACTTGAGCCACAGAGCCACTTCTATAAGGCTCTTTTTAAACATTCTATGAAAACAAACTTTAACTGGGGCGGTTTCCAGGGTGGCAACAACTTGAGGCTGGACAGGTGGGCTGTGCTATTTCATCCAAGGCAGGAAGTCCCACTTTGAGCCAACTTAAAGAGGTGCCATATGGAGGCGACCCACATAAGAACTGAAAATGTTGCCCACATGGCTACTTTTGAAAATGAAATCAAACAGCTGTTGCTAGTTGCCAGGAGTTTCTTTACTTTGGGCTTTTATATTTGAATATAATCTAGTCCATGTGATTTAGTTTATTATCTCTGTTTTAAAGTCTACAAGACTCTAAATTAGGTAAAACTTTAACCTAAGGCAACTCATGGGAAAGTACTATTTATTTACTGTGATGTCTTGGCCAAACTTAAAATGTAGTAATGTGAAGGCAGTGCACTGGGCTCTGCACACATCTGACTGACCTGGCTAACTTCTGTTCCTGTCTCCCATGCAACACACCCTGAGCCTTCTCCACATTTCAAAGTCCCTAAAACCAATAGTAGGCAATAATCATTTGTATCTAATAAAAGACGACAGTACAAACATGTTAGATGCCCATGTTATATTTTTAAAAACTCAAAGATTAAGATATAGAACATCTCCATTATAAGATGAGTAGATCTTTAGATTGTGAAGTTTTGTGCAGAGGATTTTGCCTTGTCTTAAGAAATCCATAACTGGGGGTTGGGAAGGTGGCTCAGTGGTAGAGCGCTTGCCTTGCATGCCTGAGGCCCTGGGTTCGATTCCTCAGCTACCACATAAGCAAAAAGAAAAAAGCTGGAAGTGGCGCTGTGGCTTAGGTGGTAGAGTGCTAGCCTTGAGCTGAAGAGCTGAGGGACAGCGACCAGGCCCGAGTTCTGGCCCACCTACTGGACCCCCCCCCCAAAAAAAAAAAAAAGAAATTCATAACGGGCTGGGAAGGTGGCTCAGCGGTAGAGTGCTTGCCTTGCATGCATGAGGCCCTGGGTTCGATTCCCCAGCACCACATAAGCAAAAAGAAAAAAACCGGAAGTGGCGCTGTGGCTCAAGTGGTAGAGCACTAGCCTTGAGCTGAAGAGCTGAGGGACAGCGCCCAGGCCCAGAGTTCAGGCCCCACAACAGGACCAAAAAAAAAAAAAAGAAATCCATAACTGCTCAAGCCTGTAATCCTAGCTACTCAGGAGGCTGAGATCTGAGGATCATGGCAGGAAAGTCTGTGAGGCTTTTATCTCTGATTAACCACCAAAAAGCCTGAACTTCTATACACAAACCCATGACCTAGACTTTAAAACAATGCTTCACTTGCTGTTCTAAGCCAAGCCTGATATGGATGTGTATGCCAAGGCTAATGTCCTCCCTCTCTTCTGTCTGAAGTAACGCTGGTTCTCTGATAGGAGTCCATGCCTGTTACACCAACCCCCCCAGAGGTTTGTATTCCTTTCTGTTCTCAGACATGGTCCATACTCCTGCCTCTGCCTTCTGAGTGCTTCATGATGTGTTTCCATCATAAAAATGGAGATAGACTATAAATGTATTTGAGATCTGCTTTGTGAACATACTGTACTTCACATACACCTCCTCAAGTCAAGGCACAGGTCTTCCTTTTCAGGTTTTTACATTGTTACATAACTTACTAAAAGTCAACTGAAGTGATGATGCTTGTTTTCCCCAGAGATGCAAGAAAAAAAATTTTACACCTATCTTAAAACATAAGAGCTCAAAGCCTAGTAATGACTGGTAGAAATCTCCTTTCCCTGCATAGAACAACCCATCATCTGAGATAGGACTCAAAGGTGCTGGGTGTTTTAACTGTGAAAACTGCCATCATCACTGTAAAGCATGCAGGCTGGCCCTGAGGAGTTCCACAGTTGTGGCTCGTGCAGGTTCCCTGAGGCGCTCACCTCCCATCCCTGGTCATCTCCACGGGCACTCAACCTCCCTGCCTCCCTCAGATCCTTCCTATCCATGACCCTCTATCTCTGAGAAGGCACCTGAAGTCAAGCGCCTTCTGCTGGTCAGAAACCAATGCCATGACCTTGTAGGAAAAGATGCTGGTGGCCTACAGTCCCCCTCTTCTCTCAAGGGTGCACACTGGGACACACTATGAGCCTGGGCATTTAAGACTAAGGCTGACACAAAAGGATACACAAGTGACATGTCAGAGAGACTAGGAGAGTTGGCTCCCTACTCTGAGACATGTACACCTCTTACATACTTTAAAATTTTAGAAACATTTTCCAGACCTTAGACTATGTTGTGATATTTTGTATTGCTTTAAATTGAGCCCAACAAGGCCCTTGCTACTTGCTTAGGTGAACACCTTCTGCTGCAAATGGTCCTTGGTGTCCCTTCCCAAACTGCCCAGCCTCTTTGGGTCCCCATCATGACACGTGATGCACACTCATGTTCAGCCAGACCCACCTGTGCAGGAAGTGCAGCTTATGCATGGCAGCCAGCCCTGCGGTGATCTCACACGCCATCCTCTGCAGCAGCATAGTCTGCGAGTCGCCACGCATGTGCTCATGCTCATTGCGCAGGTAAGCCTTCAGATCACCCTGCAAAGACCAGTCCACATAAGTGCCAGCCATGTGCAAGCAAACCCACTGGCAGACAGGGGCCTTAGTTGGCACAAACTTAAACACTAAAATGACTCCAGAAACTACATAGGCTGGCACTCAGTAAACAATCTCTGGGTTGGGGATAAAGCTCAGTGGAAGAGTACTTGCCTAGCACATACCAGCCCCTGGGTCGATGCAAGCACCACAAAAAAATAAAACAAATAAAAATTTCAGATGGAGCAAGTCTTCACATTAGGAAAAGTAATAATACGCCTTTTAAAAATTCATTTATCTGTCTTTGGGAGGGTAAGGGTAGGCACAGCAATGGAGGAACCAAGTGTGAACAAATGCAGCAGTGGTATGCACCAGATACTACGTGGAAAATGAACCACATATCTTGTGGGTAGGGACTGCAGGGAAAAACTAGGAGAGCAAAGGATGGGAGTAACGCTATCCCCAAAGAAATGTATTCATTACCTGACTTATAAAACTGTAACTCCTCTGTATATTACCTTTTTTTTGGCAAGTTGTGGGGCTTGAACTCTGGGCCTGGGCACTGTCCCTGAGCTCTTCAACTCAAGGCAAGCACTCTACCACTTGAGCCACAATGCCACTTCCATGTACATTACTTTTATCTAAACAATAAAAAAACTAAAGTAATAACAATCCAGTATTTCAAGGCATACATTAAAGATGTGTATCAGTGGCTCACACCTATAATCTTAGCTACTCAGAAAACTGAGATCTGAGGATTGTGGTTCAAAGCCAACCTGGGCAGGAAAGTCTGTGATACTCTTATTTTCAATTAACCACTGAAAAGCCAGAAGTGGAGCTGTGGCTCAAGTGCAGAGCACCAACTTTGAGTGAAAAAGCTCAGGGACAGCACTCAGACTCTGAGTTCAAACCCCAGTATTTACATTCACACAGACATACGGACACACAGACAGACAGACACAGACAGACAAAGACAGACACAGACACACAGAGCATACATTATGATGTTTTAGGGCCATTCTAAACAAGATCATGTAAAGTAAACCAGTAAAGAAAATATAAGTCGGGGGCTAGTGGCTCACGCCTGTAATCCTAGCTATTCAGGAGGCTGAGATCTGAGGACCTCGGTTCAAAGCCAGCCCAGGCAAGAAAGTCCATGAGATTCTTATCTTCAATTAACCACTAGAAGACTGGAAGTGGAGCTGTGGCTCAAGTGGTAGAGTGCTTGCCTTGAGCTGAAGAGCTGAGGGTCAGCACCCAGGCCCAGAGATCAATCCCCCTGACGAAAGAAAGCAAGAAAGCAAGCGAGAGAGGGGGGAGGAGGAAGGAAGGAAGGAAGGAAGGAAGGAAGGAAGGAAGGAAGGAAGGAAGGAAGGAAGGGAGGGAGGGAGGGAGGGAGGGAGGGAGGGAGGGAGGGAGGAAAGAAGGAGGGAGGGAAGGAGGGAGGGAGGGAGGGAGGAAAGAAGGAGGGAGGGAAGGAAGGAAGGAAGGATCTTACAATAGCAGAGAATTAAACTAAATGCAGAACAGAAGTCTCAAAACCCCCAAGAGACATGTGGCCAGCCAGTTTCATCACACATGCCAGTGGCCATGACATTGCATGGAAGAGCAGCAGAGAGTGAAGGAAGAAAGAATGAAGAGGAAGGAAGCTCCTCAAGGCTGGTAAGCTCAGGTAAATCTGAACTTTTTTACCCAGGGCCTATGAGCCCAGAGACCACTGTGAGAAAGAGGGCAGCCAGAGCTGCTCAGGTGGGACCAGATCTGCCCTGGTGACCTGTATCACCTGTCTGGAGGAGTACACTTTTGAGGAAATAATACTGTTCATATTCTCTTTCTGACATGAGTAAGTGCTGGCTAATGTGACTTTATTCCATATGAAAGCCTTTACTGATCAGGTAATGAAATGTAGAAAACAAAGCAATACCCTTGCTTTTTCTTTCAATTTGAATTGAGGAAAGACTCAGAGGATGGATGTTTTCCTTGACCAAAACTCAAGGGCATGTTGGTTTTTTTGTTGTTGTTGTTTTGTTTTGTTGTTTTTTTTGTTTCTTCTGTATCCCCTTCAGTGCCAATAGTCCATAGGGAGAGGCCAGGCAATGGTTCGGGGCCACAGTTTGCTTTGGCATGACACTGAGAAGCCCAGGGGGATGGGCCTGCCATAAATCCAACCTACACATTCAAAGGCACATTTCTTATGACTGACCAGAGAGCGCTGACCAGTGGACTCCTCCCAGGCTGGAACTTTAACCACACGCCCACACTTAATACGGAGTGCATTGTAACAGCACTTCCAGCCCCATGCTAGGGGTTGGTGCGTGTCTGCCCTGGCCTCCGGTTCAGTCACCTGTGCACTTGCTGTGCCAATAACACTCTGGCTTCTTGTTCTGCCACCATCACCCCCTGAGAAGCTCTCATCATGTTCAGGGCTCTCTGGGTCTGCAGAGGAGCAGTGCTCTTCTTCAGCAACACCCAGTACCACCCAGCCCCCAGCTCACAGCTCTAGTTCCCTTGGGTTCCTTTGCAAGCATCTCATTGTCTCATTTCACCATCAGGGAGAAAGGAGACACATTGGTACCTCTTCCCCCACTTTATTTTTTTTATTTTTTGGGTCCAGTCGTGGGGCCTGAACTCTGGGCCTGGGCGCTGTCCCTCAGCTCTTCAGCTCAAGGCTAGCACTCTACCACTTGAGCCACAGCGCCACTTCCGGCTTTTTTCTTTTTGCTTATGTGGTGCTGAGGAATCGAACCTAGGGCCTCAGGTATGCAAGGCAAGCGCTCTACCCCTGAGCCACCTTCCCAGCCTCCCCCCCTTTCCCCACTTTAAAAAATAAACACCCTTCAAATAGACTAGGCTTCAATCAGCTGTGGGAGTTCTGGGATAATTAAGTTAACCCAGATGAATTCAAAGTACTTCAGATCTGCAGGTGAATGGGCTTTCATGAAGTAGCCCACACAGAAACCAAACCCAAGGACAGCATCGGTGTACTGCCATTACAGATGATGGGGACACTGAATTCTTTCAGCTGGCTATGCTTCAGCAACTCACCTACAGAAACAATTATTCTCTCCTGTGTGACACTGTGGTGATGCTGTAATGGATCTGGCCAATGATTAAACCCAACAGCTCCCACCCTACTGCTCTACCGCCACAGGGTGACCTGTTCCTGCCAGAGCTCTGAGTGGGTGATCTGCGAGACTATAGAAGGTGGGGTCCAATCGGGTCCAATCACTGCCCTCTTGGGTGGTACTTGTGCTGGGTGGGTGGTACCCCAGTATAGGACTATGTTCTAGACAGTTCCTCAAAGTGCTTAAGCACCACATTTTATTATTATTATTTTGGTCAGTTGTGGGGCTTTAACCCTGGGCCTGGGCATTACCCCTGAGCTCTTCAGCTCAAGGCAAGCACTCTACCACTTGAGCAACAGCACCACTTCCAATTATTCTGGTGGTTAATTGGATATAAGAGTCTCATGGACTTTCCTGTCTGGGCTGGCTTTGAAACGTGATCCTCAGATCTCAGCCTCCTGAGTAGCTAGGATTACAGGTATAAGCCACTAGCACCCGACCAGGTACTACATTTTAAAAGAAAATCTTTAATTTTTTTTTCTGGTCCTGGGGCTTGAACTCTGGGCCTGGATGCTGTCCCTGAACTTTTGCTCAAGGCTAGTGCTCTACCACTTGAGCAACAGCACCAATTTCAGCTTTTTTTAAAAGTAGTTTATTGGAGATAAGAGTCTCACAGTTTCCTTCCCAGGCTGGCTTCAAACTGTGATCCTCAGATCTCAGCCTCCTGAGTAGCTAGGATTACAGGTGACACCACTGGCACCTGCCAAGAAAACCTTTAATTACAGTAAAAATCTTTGTAGTAACAAGTACTAAATACTGATTTGCTCTCTCTAGTCAGACACTGGATTAGTTCTGTTAACAGTGCTTAGGGAGTACACACAGATTAAATCTGGCAATGTTTTCTGAATTTGAATAGTTTACTTCATCCAAGTTTATAAAATTTCTCAGCAACTTCTCCAGCACCCCAAGGAACATTCCCTTCTGCAACACTAGATGGCAGCACAGGTCTCCAGAAGAAGCCCTGACCCAGTAGCAGGGCACAAGGTTTCCCCCAAGTGACTTCATTCCAACATAGACTGGGCTTCATCTAGAGTTGTTTTTTTTTTTTTTTTGGGGGGGGGGGGAGGGGGAGGGGGGCGAAGGGTCGCTCATGGGGCTTGAACTCTGAGTCTAAGCACTGTCCCTCAGCTCTTCAGCTCAAGGCTAGCACTCTACCACTCAAGCCACAGGGCCACATCTGGCTTTTTCTATTTATATGGTGCTGAGGAATGAAACCCAGGGCTTCATGCACGTGAGGCAAGCACTCTACCACTGAGCCACCTTCCCAGCCCCCTATAGTGTTCTTGCAGGACACTGAGTGTAAGGAGCTCAACTGAATCTGAAGTAAAACACAACAACAAAATACCTTTGTAACTCAAAGACTACTGCACCACTCCCAATTCCTGCCTAGGTTCAGCCACCCTCTGCCCTCTACTCCAATACATCATCTTCTCCCAGCTCATTCACTCTTTTTTTTTTTTTTTGCCAGTCCTGGGCACTGTCCTTGATCTTTTGCTCAAGACTAGCACTCTATCACTTGAGCTACAGTGCCACTTCTGGCTTTTTCTATTTATGTAGTACTAAGGAATGAACCCAGGACTTCATGCATGCTAGGCAAGCACTGTACCACTAAGCCACATCCCTAGGCCACTGTTGTGGCCTCCCAAAACTCAGTCTCCTTGAGTCCACCATCCCTCTCCATTACAATGCTTAAACAATCTTCCAAGCAACTATGGCACAATCTAAACGTGTCTTCTGGCTCTACCAGATCCCTTCGTGCTGGCCTACCACTTTTTTCTTCACTTCCTGGACAGAATGCTCAAAAGCCTGGTCTCTTCTGCTGGCTCCATCTCTTGCCCTCTCTACTTTCAAGAGTCTCCATATATACCTCAACCCACTACTACAATTCACACTGCTCTGCTAACTGAAGCACAACCAAAGTTCTAGGGCCTCCCAGAGCCAGCTTTAGAATAGGATCCTCCTATCATCACCTCCTGTGTAGCTGGGATTACAGGTGAGTACCACGCCCAGCTCCTTCCTTTTTCTAACACAAACTTCTCCTAGCTTCGAGGGCCCAGTCACCTGTGTTTCCTGCAGCTCACTGCCCCTTTGTTTAGTGCCCTTTGCTGGCTTTGCCCCATGGCTTTCTGAGGGCTGAGAGGCAGTTTAAACCTAATATGAAGAGTATAAAACCCAGTCTGCTGCACTTCAGTAAATGCCATCCCCAACTTCCAGCCTAACAGGCCACACATGTCCCTGGAGCTCCTCTGCAGACCCTTCTCCAACCTAGAAGGCCACTGTGATCCTGCAGTCTGAGGTGCATCCACTTGCAGGTGCTCTGTGACAAGCCCTAGGGGTCTCCTGCTGCTTCCTGAGCCCAGCAGTGGTTTAACATGAATCAAGTCATTGCTTCCTACCATTTTGTCATTAATCTGTCACTGCCACTAGACAGGCTGGACAAGCTGGGGCTCTGGCCTGTTCCTCACAACAGTGCTAGACACACAGCTCATTCAATGAACACCTACTTGCTGGATAAAAGTCCCAAATTAAAGCAGGGTCACCCACTCTCCCAAAGTGGTGTCAACCCAACATTTCAATTAACAGCTATTAATAATAATGCGCTTCGAAGTAGATCTGTAATTTCAAATTTTTATTGGGCTTTAAATCTGTTTTATTGCTAGGTTTTATTAAACCTAGCCAAACCCAGCTCCCGTGGGAAAGTACTTAGGCTGTTTAAGCAGTATAATCTCACTGGGGTTATTGGGCAGTTTTGGCTCTGCAGGACAAAGGCTGCAACTTAACCTCAGGTAGAGGGGTCTGGATCACTGGGGACCTCGCTCATGGCACTGTTGCCAGTTTTCAGAAGGCAAGCCTGCAGGGAACTGTGACAGACCAGCACTTTCCGCACCAACAACCCAGCTAGATATGGGTTTTGAATCTTCTAGCAGTAATACCCACTCATAAAGAAGTGGATCCTGCAGGGCACCAATGGCACACGCCTATAATTCTAGCAACTCAAGAGGCTGAGATCTGAGGATTGAGATTCAAAGCCAGCCCAGGCAGAAAAGTCCATGAGACTCTTATCTCCAATTAATCACAGAAAAACCTGGAAGTGGAGCTATGGCTCAAGTGGTAGTACACTAGCTTTGAGTAGAAGGAGCTCAGTGACAGTGCTCCGGTCCAGTGCTCAAACCCCAGGACCAGAAAAAAAAAGAAAAGAAGTGGATCCTTACTAGCATGCTTTATTAGACTCACTATATCTAAAATAATATCAATTCAGGCTGGGAAGGTGGCTCAGTGGTAGAGCGCTTGCCTTGCATGCATGAGGCCCTGGGTTCGGTTCCCCAGCCCACATAAGCAAAAAGAAGAAAAAGCTGGAAATGGCGCTGTGGCTCAAGTGGTAGAGCGCTAGCCTTGAGCTGAAGAGCTGAGGGACAGCGCCCAGGCCCAGAGTTCAGGCCCCACGACCGGACTCCCCCCCCCAAAAAAATAAAATAAAATAACATCTATTCAACAGTAATCCACATTAACAGATTTTAGAGGCCTTTTACTTTTCTGTTGGTGCTAAGTGCACCAGTGTAGCCTCTCTCAGTTCCTAGTGCCCACCACCCGCTTGCTCTCTGGGCAAAGGGCAGCTCCCACGAAGCCTCTGCCACAGTTGGCAGTGAGGGGCTGGCACTGCAGTACAGGAAGGGAAACATGGGGTGGCACAAGAAGCAAATATTAGGGCGGAGAGGACAGCACTAGAGCAGGCAGGAAGTAATGGCCACAGCAGTCAGGGTCACCTGTTGCGGAGCCAATGCCATGCTGTTCCAGGCAGCAGCCAGGAGTGGGAGGGACATGGCCCCTGTTAGGCAGCAGGACGCCACCACCATACGCTGGGACCATGCCCTCCCTGCCCAATCACCCTGCACCCCAAGCCTGACAATGCTGCTGTTGTCTCTCAGCATACATATCCCCCTGACCTTGGCCCCCTCATACCTGGGACTCCATGTACTGCTTTTCTATGTGACCTCCTTAGGTCAGGGACGTGTCGTTCTCTGTAAGCCTGGCACCTAGTGTCCTTGGTCG